AAAACCTGTGAGTTTGTTTTCTGGACAAACTTTCTTTATATTATTACAGCAGGGATTCCTGTGCCTATGCAGGTCTTTTGATTTCACCATGACTCCACCAAGAGAGCCCAGGATAGAGGACTACCCCTTTTTAGAGAATAGTATGCTAGGACCCTCAGCAAGGCCTAGATTTGAGGTGCTCTGAACTAGAGTTTTGAACAGAGCTAAACTCTGTTACTATAACAAAGCCTGAGGCTGCATGGAAACTTTCCACCCAAAGTACGTTTCCTAAATGTTGATAGCAGATGGCCCTCCCATCCCACAGTCTGGGGATGTGCTGAGTTTTCACTCTCAGTATAACTTGTTCTCACATCACAGGACCTCTGATTTTTTATTTTTACTAAGCTTGATCCGATAAACTAAGGTAAACACACTTTTATAATAAATTTAAAGTGTAAAGATCGTTACTAATTCTGTTGTTCAGACTCACAGAGAAGGTTAATATAATTTCGTTTTTCCTTTGGTACCTAAGCAAAATCTGGCCTAGATTTAATTCTTCTGTTAGTATAGGGAGGAGTCTAACCAGAGGTGACCAGTAGTAGTGCTATCTGAATGTGTCTTGCAAGCTCTGCTCTTGTAGTGAAAGCTGAATTAATGTTCCAGCAACATTTTGTTTTTCTATACCCTACCCCTATTTATTAGCTTTATTTTGCCTTTTTTCAGCTTTACCTCAACCTCCTCCGTGACGCCAAAGACACCTGGCATTGGTAGTCATGTTTCTGAGATTACCTGCTCAGGAACATCTGCCCAGAGAAGTTTGTTTCCACTATTTTGCACAACTGAAACAATTTTGGATTTGATGTGCTGTTTCCTGGACAAGTGTATGAAGAGAAGTAGTTTAGACTAGTTCCACAGAAGGGAGCTATTTATGAATGGACTCAGACACATGGATGTCTGAGGATGATAAGTGCAAGGCTTCATCCCTCTGGGTCAATGGTCTTTGGGACAAGGCAGAGGAGACAGAAGTTGAGGAGACACTGCTGTTTTCATATCTGTATTTCAGGTCACAGTCTTGTCAGGTCAACAAAAGTCATGCAGTGTGAATGGTGCCAAAGCACACTTGATGGTTGTGCATGAACATTTATGCTTTGTCTTTTTATTATCAAATTCATTTTACATTCTGACCAACTTGTCATTACACACCTTCTTTGAAGACCTACTTAGACAAAAACCCGAAATGTGCTTTGTTTTGTAGTATACCAGGCAATGAGCCAAAATGTAGGAAGCTGTTGTGTCACCCTCCTCCTGGAGCTTTCTTCCAGATCATCTGTGTTGTACTACATTCCCTCGTAACTGAGGGAAGGGGTGGAAAAGCCCTTCCCAGCTGAGCAGTGGTGTCCCCAGACATTGTCCTGAGATGGTGTGGGCTGTGCTGCTGCTTGCAGCAGCACATGCTCTTATTCAGCTGATCATCAGTTGCAGGGTGTGGATAGCACTTGACCCCTGACCTGTGGCTCACACCCTTTTTCTAGACCCTGGTGCTAACTGGTAGGCCAGACTGCCTTTCCCACCTCCCTTTAGCTTGTAGGTAGTTCTTTGGCATACATCCAAACCTAATGTAGCATAGAGGGATAGGTCTTCAGGTTCCCAGAGTGTATCTACACATGTAGTCAAATCCCCAGCTCATTAATATAACATGTGCAGTGGAGTCCAGCTACTGATTTATGTTTTCATTTATACAAAGTAAACTGGATTGAAACTTCACACCATTTAAAAAGGAGAGCTGAGATTCTTGCTTATGTTTGAGTTCTAAATTAGCAGGTACATGACAAAGCTTCATGGACCTGAAAAAGCTGGGTCTAAGTTAATATGATGCCTATACCATTGATTTCACTGGAGCCTTTTGTATCAGAAACCACATGTACACAGCCTCACATTGTGAAGCAAGATTAATTTAGCTGTTGGCAAATTATGTGCTGTATAAGAATGTTCTGTAAATGACTTGGATTGCAAATTCTACTTCTTAATATTTGCAATGCAAAGTATCAGTAACATGAACAGGGCACTACTGGTTTCAGCTGAACTTTGCAGAAATGTGAATGACAGGCACCCAAAATAAGGAGACAAATGGTGGAGAACCAAACAAATAAGACCTACTGAGTCAGATATTAAAAGCCTCAATCTAAATTATTACAACATATAAGATAGATATAAAAGTAATTGCAAAGGTTTTAGAGATGCAGTGCCTCTAGAAATGCAGAAGGGGTGGCCTCTCTTACAAAAAGTTGATTTGTGATTATTCTCAGCTATAATTACAGGGAGCACCACAGAGGGGGCTACCAAGAATAATTCCATGTTTCGGTTTAAGTTTCTTGAATGTATCCACTTTTAGAACCAAAATTCTTGTTCCCTCTCTTTGAATTGTTATAGGAATAGCTGAAGCAAAAACAAACTTCCCATGATCTACCTACCTTGGAGAACAGAACCACTCTGGATAATATAGGTAAATTAATGGTATGCAAGCTCAGTTTTTGATGTGCTTCCTAACTGTACCAATTCACCTGATGCAAGTCCCTAAAGGAACACAGGTATTAAGCTATTACCCTGAAGTGAAAGTCACTGTATATTGTCCTAGTGATCCCTTATGTGTAGTTGCTCTTCAACTTTCCTCACTTTTATGTTGGTAAAAATTTAGATTACTTGGCATTTGCAAAAGCTGAGTATATGAAGCTTAAGTAGCACAGATTTCAGTTTTCTATTGGATGAGAGGCAGTAAAATCATGAGTCTCTTCTGTTACGGCTCCAGTTAGTTACTAACCAACCACTAACTGTTACTTCTCCCAAGCACGTAGATACACCCCTGCTCAGTGATTATCCTTGCACCAGTGGCAAAGACACTAGAAGTGTTCATTACTCATTTTGGTGGGATGTAGAGAGATGAAGTTTTCTTGCACCCTGTGTTGCTGATGATAAATTTTTCCTTGAGTCTTACTCAACCTTAAGAAACCTGCATCCTTCCACATGTCCAGATTGACTCCAGTTTTACATGTTTATGTGTTCTCCTAGACCAAAAAATTTCCTCCCCAGGGCCTAGCACCATTTACTAGCTGGAAACTACACCCTGTTTTGCTGCTTGCCTCTGGTGCCTCCCCACAGCTATGCCATCAGAAAAGGCCAAGCAAGCCTTCCCTAATGCACTACAAGTAAAGACAGCCTGGTTAGCTCATATCCATGGTCGTCACCAGGTAGAATGAATCTGGCTGACTTAGTTTACACAGATTAGGAGGTAATTTGTGATCCCTTTCACTAATGGAGCAGTATGTTGGGTACTTGGAAGGCAGCAACAAGCACTAAAACCAGTGCTGTTATCTCCCAGAAGAGCTTCTCTGCAGTTTCAGGTTTTCTTAGCACTCCCATCCTCAAACCCAATCTTCCACCCCTTAACTTTCATGCTTTTCTACATACCTTGCTTTTATTTTTACTTGGCCACAACTAATGATATATTTTGATATTTTAAATGAGTCTTCTCTGTTCAGCTTGATCTGCCTATCTTTATTAATTAAACTTAGGTTTAATATTAGGTTCCTTCAGCTTATCTCTTCCAGTTTCAGCTTTTACTTTCCATTTGCCTTCATTATACTTTGCCATCCTTGAACAGCACTGAACTCTTCCTCATTTCACATCTTCCTGTACAATATTCTGATCTGCTATTTCTCTGCCTAATTTTACCATGGCTGATGTGAAAAATCTTCTTTGCTGCAGAACCAGCAGTGAGAAGACAGACCTTTCTTCTCTGCCACATTCCTTTTTGCACAAAATCTCAGCTGAAAAAGAAGGGCATTCTCTTCTGTGAGCATAACTTCACATTCCTCTCTTTTCCTGCTGTTCTTCCCTTTGGGATACATTTTAATACGTCATCATCCATGGAAAAGGCACTGTTTATGTTTGCAATTTTTCAGTGTGCTTGGAGTTGGGGTTTTCCAGATGAATGGTGTATTAAGATTTAATCTGAACCTAGTCAGATAATATTGACCTGCAATGAAAAAGCTGTATGAATGAGATAGCAGCAGACAGCTTAAAGTGCAGAGTGCCAAGTGCTGACTGAAAAATGATACCCCAGAAGTTTGGTGGTAGAGAGCAGATGGGACATTTATGAATGGAAAAGCTTTCTGATTATTTAAATATTGTGATTTTTAAAAAATATTTCTCCATTTTTTCAACATTTGCCAGAATTTGCCTGCTCCTGTAGGGTGGTAAACCAGGGAGCTCCCAGGAGCTGCTTATCCCTCAGTAAGCTATCACATCTTGATACCCAACTTTAAGGCCTTTCTCTTTTGTCACAGTAGACTTCCCCAAAATAAAACAAATAAGAACTGAACCCAAGATGTTGGATTCCTGATGCTCCTCCCTATGCCCATTTCAGCTATACTTCCCACTGTTGGGTGTCAGCAGTCATTAGGGAACATGTATTTTGTTTCCAAAATCAGGGTCTCCTGAAACAAATCCCTAGGTATTAAAGTAGTGCCACAGCTTGCAAGCTGCATTGTGTTAGGGCCACAATGAGTTGGTCCTTGCCCAAAGCAACTTCTAATCCAGGTCATGTATATGGAAGATAGGCAAGGGAAGCTGTTTTCACATATATCTGAGTTGCCCGAGTTAAATGTGGTGAATTATTTCAACAAATATATTCCAAACCTTCTCCTTCAGTTTTTCACAAGTTCCAAATTTGGATGCTGCTCTAAATGAAAAGGAACAATTAAAATGCTTTTCCGAATGCATTTGAAATGAAATGTTACTGTAATTTCCCTGGGCAAGCCATCTTTTTGGAGGGGGCAAAAGTTGTAAGTGGAAAAACAAACAAACGAGCAAGTAACTGTGGGAAGTGCTGTCAGAGAATCAGAAGTAAGCCTGGGTAGAAGGGGGAGGGAAAGGGTCTTGTCTGCTCTGGGACAATTTGTAGAAAACAAAATGTGGAGGAAAAAAAAAAAAAAAAAAAAAAGTATCTTTCCCCCCACCCCCAGATAATCAGGTTACCAGGACCTGTGATGCTGCTATTAAAAATGACTGATTTCAAGGACTTTAAGAAAATAGAAAATTCCCCCTTTGTTATTCAGGTTCTTCTTTTACAGGGGTTCCTACAGCTACATGACTAGGAGGTGAGTCCCTGAGTCTCATCTCTAAAGGGGAAGTATGAATGAGGTTGCCAGATGCACCGAGTTAACAGTCAGTGAGCTGAGAACAGCATGACTACCAGCTACCTTTCTCCTTCCAAAATCCTGAACCAGTGAGAAATCAAGACATAGTTTAGGTCAGCCTACAGGTATAAAGTATGCTTCACCTCCCATGAACTGGGGATGGGAAGCGAAGGCAAGAGTGCTGCAGAGCTGCTGATTGTCTGCTCTCCAAAGACTTCCTGTTAAGGGGAATCCTCAGTTGTCCATTTAGGGTAGTATTATAGCTGCACCGAGCTGCTGAGGCATGCAAAGAAGCTGCAGATGGGGCTGAGAGTACAGCTTGATACTTCTCTGTTGAGCCACCCAGTTACAGCATTATCAAATCCCTGCTAGAAGTGGGGTACTAAGACTGCTGGTAATGACTACAGGCAAAGGAGAGGGTCTGGTTTTAATAAAAAGGTAGTTTACAAACAGCATTTTTCTTATTATAATGATAAAATGGATATGAAACAGTTATGCTCCAGACCCTTATTTTTCAGTGCTATTTATTTTTTTTTTCAGAACACTGAAAACAAAACAAACAAAAAGAGGGGGGAAAGAAAAAGGGGGCAAGGGGGAAGAAAACTCCCTTCAGACAACAATCACCTTTTGAGTTAAATTCTCATGCTTGGTCTTAGCCCAGAGGGATTTGTCTTGAGTGAAGTTTGAAGAAAATCCTTTCAGCAGTTTCTGAGTTATTTAAATGTAACCATGGAGGTTTGGATTCAGATGCTTTTTTGCACTTGTATAACTCAAAAATAGCTTTGCTTTAAAACTTCTAAATTAACCCTCCTTAACTTTTCAACTTGTCACCTATCCTACTGTATGGCTTATAAAATTTTAAAGCTAATAGTATAACAAACTCAAATAATGATACTGCAGATGTTCAAATGAATCTTGGGAGGAATAAATTATAGGAGTCACAGTAGGTTGTTACAGAAGAAAGAGCGACTGCATGCCTTAAACCATGTGTTCTTACTGGTCTGAAACAGGCCCAATTTTTTCTACTATTAAAAAGCATAAGTGTGCTTGGGTGTGGATTTTAATACCCAGTTACACATACGAAATTAAGCATGTAAGTCCTGTTCCTTTTTTTCCTTCCCGATAGCAGTGCTTCAGACTTGTCAGGACATTCTCTTAAATTTTCCTGCTTTCTTTTTAACACAATCTTGATAAACAGGACACCTAAACATCTCCTACATATTTACAGACTTCAAAGTCACTGAAATGCTCTGTGATTCTCTTACTGTTATTATTCTATTGCTAGAAGATTGAGGAAATGAGAGGTTAAGTGCCTTGGTCAGTCATGGTTTTTCCTTTTCCTTTTTCTTTGTCCAATCGTCCTGTTGCTTTCTTACATTTCTTCCTCTTTGTTGTCTTTCCAACATTTCTGCTCACTTACTAGTCCTGGTCTCACTGTCTCCTATCTGTCTTTCAACCATCTTTCTCCATTTGTTCTTCTCTAACAATTGCACTGAAGAGGGCCCGTGATAAAAATTATTTTTACTTTGGCAGCAGCTTTTTACTTTTATCTTTTCCCTAAATGTCTGGGATGGGTCCAGGCAGCTCTCCCCACTTTCATAATCTCTCTTCACATCCCTCGTGACCCTGAACTCTAGTCAACAATCTGATGTCTGCCATAAGAGCACCTCCCATGATCCAGAGCCATGATCAGACTCAGGTGGTGTAACACCATGCATTACTTTACCTACCTACCATGCTTGCTCTGCCGCTTTCTAGGAACTGGACACCCGCGCCAGGTTTTTCTCACAGAATAATGACAGATAGCGCTGCTACCTTCTGCGTGTTTCTCCTCCTTGCTCCTGTGCCCTTCTTCCTCTCCCAAACTTTTGTGGTTCAGTCTCCTGACTGGTGCAATTTAGCCAAGATACAGGAGACTTGTATTCAGCCTCTGCCTGAGGCAATTTGAACTTGAATCTCTTGCCCCCTGAATTAGCACCCTACCCAAGAAATTATCAGGTGTTCTGTAAGGAGTATGACCCAAGCCCTTTCTTTGAGTGGGAAAGCTTGCGCTTGACTTGCCAGCCTTGTCGTGGCGACACCTGGGTGGGGAAACCACATGTCCCAGGGCCTGCCCCAATAAACACAATACAAAGTAGGGAAGTATTCCCTGGAAGAGGGTAGCAGAATCCAGGTTTCTTGCTCTCAGTGATGCTTTGAGAGCAAGCACACATGGCAATCCAGTTAATATTTAATTATTCCGTACAAACTGGAACAGCTCCAACGGGATGGATTGGAAAGAGCCCCTGTTCCACAAGATCCTTTTAGACTGCTGTTCTTGCTTGGCTGCTGTGGGTCAGCTCCCCTCATACCCCAGAGTGGTGATGGCAGCTGCCTCAGCACCACTGACACTTTATGGGACTAGGTAGTGAGGACATACGTGGAGGCTGGCAGGAAGGGAAGGAAAAGGTGCTCCTGTACATACTTTTGTTATCCATGGTGACAGGTCTTGTATCCTTAGGTGAAACAAGCACCTGCCACTGCTGCCTCAGTTACCATTCTGGACAGGAGTGAAATGAAGATGTGGTGGAGTGAAAAATAGTCTGTTTAAAGACAGGGCAGCAGGCTGGGGCACTATAAGGGAAATTGCTTTTAAAGGTGGAAATACAACAAAAATAGACTAAGGAATCTTAAAAGACAAAATCAATGCCAAAGCAGAGGAAGCCAGAATGACTTCCAGAGCTCAGCTACAAGCAGTTGTCCCCCAACATAAGCCAGACACTGTCAGTATGTGGGAGACATCCAGGAATTTTCTCTCCTACAAAAATATTAGGGACATTATATATTTTAACTGTAATGGAAAAACTAGAGCTGTAGTGCTCGGTTCCAAAGGAGAACACTAACTGTTGGGAGCAACGTGGTAATGGGGTCTGTGTGTGCACATGCGTGTGTGTGTGGCTGCTCCCTTCTCTCCTAGGGATTCTATAGCTTCCTTCATTCTTCACTTCTCTCATATTACAGAAAGAAGGTAATTTTTCCTGGCCATTTACTAAAGCTCATTAAAGACTGAAGAGAACAAACAATGCTACTCCTTAGAGACTACCATTCAAAGTCATTCTACAATTCTCTGTTCTAATGCTTGAGACAAATTAATTATTCCTTAGTGAAAAGTGTATAATTCCTATTCTTCATTTTTGGGGTGGGGAGTGGGGAATAATAATAAGAAGTTTATATCTGAGTCGAAAGCTGTCTGTGCTGAAGGGAAATGAGAAAAAATGTGTGTTTCAAGAAGAGTAAAAGCAATTATTCTAATAATAATTCTAGGGATATTAATGTCTTTTTAAAGTAGATTGCTTTCAAATAAACACCAAAGTTGAAGGGATAGGAAAGGCTGGTTTATTTATTAATCATTCCAAAAGTGCATTCTTCTAAATGAACAAGTGCATGAGCAACTTCGCTGGCACATATTAAATTTAGTTAAACGGCAACTTGTAAATGTCTAAAAACTTCTGTAACCAGAGACTAATTTGTTTAACGTGTTGAAAATGTTATGTGGATGTGAGGAACTACATATTAAACTTCAAAGCAAAATGCTCCAGAGATTACACCATCTTAAAGACTGCATATTGGAAGGCCTTTATACATTAAACATAAAGGATTTTTAATTCTCTTATATTTTGAATACTTGTCAATCTGTGTGACTCATGCTTAGGATTGTAAACTGTCATTTAAGGTGTGATGTCCAAGTTGAGGCCTGGACCACGATTTGCAAGGGGCTGAATTTTCTCTTTCATCTCTATTAATTAATCCTGTCTCAGTTTGCCCAGCGTACACTTCTGTTGACATCACCTTTTCCATATACTTTAAAGAGTCCCCAGAGAGATCTACTGCAGAACAAAAACTGGACAGAGAATACATTTGGAAACCATTTTATTTCTCAATTACCAACCAAAACGTATGGAAGAGATTTACACTCTATCTGATTTACACAATAATTATACTTTGAAAGCTTAGAAATAAATGGCTTGATCCTTGAAATCATTAGTTACTATACCAAATGTAATTGGTGTAAACTAATGAGTTTACTGGATGGCTGACCCTTAATTACTGATTATAGTTAAACTCTAGCCAATCAAAAATGAGTTTACTTATAAAAGTACAGTATAGTATTAACAAGCATTACATTTCCAAGTAAGCAGCTTTATGATTAGTTGTAGCACACAACTCAAGCCTGTTCAGGGCTATCAAAAGCAGCTTTTTAATAATAGTGCACTAAGCAACCATCAGTCTCTTACCTCAGCGTCTATCAGACAAACAGAAAGAAACCACAGAATTAATCATCTCATGCAATAGAAATAAAGCATCTGGGCCAGATCCAGGTGGGATATACACAGCTGCCTTAGTCAAAAGAGCTGCAAGAGGCTGGGGATTCGCTTTAAGATAGGATAACAGACATGGGGAATTTTGGCCCTCTGTGGGAGCAATATGCAGTATGGAAGTTAAATATTGATCGACTGTGTGCACTCCTGTGTGATAGGGAGAAGCCTATCAACAAAATAGGTTTAATAATGCCTTGAATTGAGGAGGATTCCTTAAGCAGATTCAATATGTGGTGATATGACATTTGGTTACCATGCTGGCAATACGAAAAATTCAGAAGTCATGACTCCTCTCTACATATTAGATCAAATGAAGATAATTTTAAAAATTAATACTAAATGGGAAGAAATAATTTTTATTTGTTTCTGATTGAACTTTAAGAATTAATGTTTTTGCCTAACCAGAAAGACTCAAAATTCCTACTAAAAATGTCGAAAGCCAATTTGTGTAAAGACCATGATTACAGAGCTGGGACTTTAAATAGGTACACCACATATTTTGAGAAAATCATAGGACTTTACTTACAGTCACATCCTTAAAGGTACTTAGGCAAGTGACACTGATGGTTTAAAGATGTGTAAATTCTCCATCTCCTAGAATTTTCCTGTGAATCCTAAACTTCAGATAGGAGACTGATGCTGGAAAGCACAAGCATTAGATCAAGTCTGATGCACTGCTACTATGGAGATCTAGTGGGAAGAGTATGTGTTTGCTGGAGCTCTGTAGCCTGTGCGCTCTTCAGATGACCTGATGGACCTCACAGCTGCCAGGATTCATTCTGTCAGAATTACAGGTCTCTCCCATTTCTGCTCTTCTCTATGATGTTCTCTCTGGTGTTTGCTTTTCATAAAGAGCTAGGCTCAGCAGAGGACCAACCTAATCTGAGGGCTCTTTGGCAGAAGTGCTGTAACACTTGCCCATTTATTAGTATGAAAATTTTCTTAAAACTCAGAAAATGAAGAATGAATTAGTTCTTCAAATGTCTGCACATGAGTTAAAGTGAAATTCATGCATTTACTAAACTCCTGTTTGTGAAATGTGTCTGGGGTCAAGAAAAGGTTAAAGTTGTTTACTGCCTTCAAGCTCTGGTCTTAGAAGTTAATTCAGCTGTGCTGTGAGCAGCTACAGAGAGTAAGTCCTTGGAACAGTGAATTGCTGGTTTGATATCAAGGTCCTTGGGTCTTAATAATAAAATTAGTTTGTTTCTTAAGGAAATCCTGGCAGGGACTTTATGGTCATATAAAGTCATTAGGGTGTTTTACAAGATAATTTTAAAGATGCTTTGGAATGATCAGAGTTTGTGGGAAGGGATCATATTTTTTTATTATTTGTGGGATATCCTTAAGCTGTCATAGCTACAACACTGCCACTTGGAATAGCTGGTCTACAGTTCAGAAGAAAAGACAAAAGATCTGTTGAGGCCTAAGTCAGGCAACCAGCGCATACCTGTCAACCCACTGTAGAATTGAATGGATCCCATGCACTTCCTGACAATCAGCTCCAATTTTGCAGGAGCTGGATACCTGAGGTAATCAAGGTGTGTTATTGCAATTCCACAAGAGCAGATAGCCTAGGAAGCTTTACAAGTTCTGCTTTAAACAGTTCTCTGTTGGAGGGTTCAGCAGTGAGTGATTTTGAAAAGTCATGGAAAAGGAAGCAGGCGTATTTTCCAAAAATTCGAGATCCTGTGAACTCAGAGACAGGGGAAACGTTAAACTAGTCAAAAACCTGCCTCACCACCCCCTGCACAGCAGTGCTGGTAAGAACAATGCTGCCATTTCTGCTCTGCTAATGCTGAGGCAACACCCTCCAATGCAGAAGAAGGGAGACAAGGAACCATTGATTCAGGAGGAGGGTAACACACTATGGACAGGTTCACCGTCCCCAACCTGCCACCCCTGTGGCACAGAGAAAAGAGGGGCTTCTGGATGGACCAGCAGAATAAGCACTGTAGGGCCTCGCTTCCCTCCTTTTCTGTGAACCATGCCTAACTGCTTCTGTGAAAGAAAGCATCAAGCCCCATCTTGTTCATAGAAATACAACATATTTTAAAGCTGTAGTTAATGGATAAACTGTTTTCTGATTGGATGAGCGGCACAATAAATCTCTTCCCGAGCCAAGTGCAATGCAGCTTATTCAGTAACAGTGAAATGAGCCACTGTCACTTTGCTGCACTTGCATACATCAGGCAAAATGCTTCCATCTTCATCAGTCTTTTAGTGAAATAGAAATAAAACAATTGTAACAGAATGGTGTCACTGGATCTGTGGCACCTGCTTTAAAAATAAATCTCCTAGCTTTGTCTTCACTATTACTTTCAATAAATGTCCTAGCATTGCCACAGTATTTATCTAGCAGCAGGAAACCATTATCCTATGACAACAATCTATTCCATTAACATTAGCTCTTAATTGTAAGATTGTTTATAAGACAGCAAAAGCTACTGAATCATAGTAGAATGATAAAAAGAGTTATGGTCATGGAGTATAGTAGTCACTCCAGTTCTGAAAAACAACTTAAGAAAAGTAAAGAGCTATATTTTTATATAAAAAATAATGTAATATTCTTACACAAGAAAATGTTTCTAAATAATGGATTACATCAGCAAAGTAACTATTAAAGAGTTAATGTTAAAAACTGGTACTAAGAAACTCTTGCTTTGATAAATGGTATGACTAAAAAACGAATAGAAAGCTTAGAAACTCTTCCTGAAAGCAAGGCTGCACCGAGTCAAACAGGGAAATAATAACAGAAGCACATTTGTCTGGCGGAGTGAACAGAAGGAATGTTGTAGAATTGAGATATGAAGAACATCACTGCAGAATAGAAGGAGAACTGTCATTCTGATTGTTTGTCATTATTGTTTCATGTCCAGTTAAGTGAACTTAGAGTGACAGTCGTGTCATAACTACTGGCATCTATGTAAATTTCAAATCAAATATGATAGAGGCACTTCTGCCAGACACAAGTCACCAGGCTGCTCTTCCTCTTTATTTTTGTAACCCTCCATTTTCTCATACTGTGCTGCTAGCCCTTAAATTAAAGAGACAACTTCAACAGGAGATCCCTGTAATGTTTGTGTTTCAGTTCTCAGTCCATACCGTGCTTTTTCTCAGCACTTTGAAACAACAGCTAATGTCAAATTTCCATGTGAAACAGTCACCACAAACATCTAGGTGTATTAGCTAAAACTAGGCGTTCCTGACAATGACATATCATACAACAAAATCCCCATAATCTCTAGGTTGTAGACCTCCCCTGAAGACCTACAGAGAAAACGGCTCCAGTGTTCCCCCACTGGTTTACTATAGTCCAAGCCAGCTATCACAAGGGTCTTCTCTGTGGATAGGTGCAAAATAGGTCGAAAAGATCAGTCATGGACCTGTCTGTAAATTACAGCATCATTCAGAGGTTATGGGAACTTCACAAGGATATCAGACGTACTCCTCCATGGCTATGAGTTACAGTAAATAACTAATTTCCTGGATACACACATAACAGGAAGATACTCTAATGACATAGGATTTGCCACTGGACACACATCTTTGAAAATAATTTTAATGCAATTATAAAGGTATTATGTGTGGACAACACCATCAAAAAATATTAAACATGCTGTTTATTCACTCAAGCATAATACTAATTTCTTCTGCATATTTAAACTTACTTAGCTAATTAATTATAGAGGCTAGAGATAAGTTTTCATTTTTCATGTAACACGTTATTCCAGAACATTATTTTTACTAAATTCTGCATGGGACTGTTTTCAGAAATCATACCAAAGCACAGCTATGTTCTTCAAAAGATGTTCCTTTGACAAAGGAAATATAAAAAATGGCCAAAAAAACCCCAGATAGTTACCTCTGAGCAGAAAACATTTAATGTTTTGATGATTTCTTGTCTCAAAGGGGAGACAAGTTTACTTTCTCTGCTGAAATTTTTTGAAGTGAATTCTGACTGAAAGGAAGTGGCAGTGATTTAACAAAAACATACCGTTATAAAATATGATGTATGTTCAGAAGCATAAATAATGGTGTTAGAAACATGTATCTCTGCATTAGGTAAGAACATTTTTGTCAGTTGAATTACTCAGACTTTTTTAAAAAATTCCTTTCCAATTGATCTTTTTTGTGCTGTAAATTTAAAGTAGCTCAGTGGCTACTTTTATATATAAATATATATATATATTTATATAAATATATATAAAAATATATATAAAAATATATATATTTATATTAAAAAAAATATATATGGGCCTTCAAACAGCACCAAATTGTGCTGTCCCATCCTCTAACCTGACCATTCGTTATGGTGAATAGTGAGTAGAGGCAACATGTTAAAGCAAGTTCTACAAAAGTATCTGTAAAGGAAACTTTTTTTTTTTTACTTTAAACGGTAAGTTCTATATGAGTTTACATTTTGAAGTATTTGTCAAAGGTTTTTTTTCTTGTTAAAGATGGTGACATCTGAATCATAAAAATACTTCATTCATATTTATATTTGTGACAAAATATCGCTCTACAGATATATCATCCCCAAAATCAACTGTCAGTATATGTTTAAGAATATCAAAAAAACTTTAACTGATTTGCTTAAAAAGCACCTTGTTTTACTAGACTGTGGAATGTAAAGCCGTCTTTCAAAATTCATATAGCATTTCCAATTGTAAGACTGTTTTATGTAGTGAACTTATTATTACATGTGCATATTCTAGTGGCCTCTAGAGACTTTTAATTTAAAACATAAATTACATATAATTTCAAACGCTCATGTCTTTGACTTCAGTCACAGAACTCACTTCCAGGACTTTCTGCTACTGATGGCTTGTGGTAATATATCAATTCTCCCAACAGGAATGTGCACAGGACAAATTAGTGAACGTAATTTTAGCCATATGAGGTCATTACAAATATAGCCTTAGCTCTTCCTAAAGTGGACTTCATTGTTAATATAAACATATATCTATAATTACTGACATTTATATTATTTGGCTCCTGTCCTAAGTTATGGATGCAGTGATGATAAAAGGGTCTTGCAAACCCTTACCTAAGCGAACCATGCTTACTAATTACCTTCCATGGTTCTGGGTTCCTGTAAATAAAGTTACTCATGTATTTATAAGTCAAAATCTATATACATATTTCTAAAAGTGAATTATCATGCTCTTTGGGGCAAACAGTGCTGTCTACTGCTTGGAAAAGAACACTGAGAGTAAAGCCATCTAGGATTCTTCCCAGCTTCTGCCAGGATGCGTACTTTCCCATATCTTTGGATGTCTGATTGAAATACTTAATCCAGTCACATTTTAAAATTGTTTGGGGCCCTAAACCAGAAGATCCTATGCGAGTAAAGGGATGCATTGCTTTAAAGTAAGAAATGGCTGTTGATTTTTCATCGCTGTTTCCAAAGAGACTGGGGTCAGAGGGTTTGTTTTAAATGTCTAATTGTTCAAAAGGTGTAGCTCCCAAGACACAAGGACTAGCAAAGTGCAGCATGGAAGATCTCAAGACAAAGCAGCAGCCTCAACATTTCTCTCTAATGAGAAAAGGAAAAGACAGTCGAGGTCCCATAGGAATGCAGTATTTAGGGAGAGAACCAAGACTCCTTTCATGAATGGAGAGATAACCCTGATGAATTCTGGACTACCTGCTATCTTACGGGCATGTCTAGGTTTAAGAATGATTTGGATCACAGGCTGTAACATTTTCCAGACATTCAGATTGCAACTACTAAGCCAGCAATTTTATGCTTTCCTTTCTCTGACTCCAACAGTACCGCGATATAAGCAGCCAGATTTTCTTCTGCATTGTGTTTTTTATCCATTCAGCCAAAATTAACAGTCTTCAAGGATAACGTATGCCAAGTGAATTTAAATCTTGCGGACTCAAATCGACCTAAAGTTGATGGATACATTCATGCCTACCGCTGAAATCTACCAATTACACAGAACTATGTTAACTTACCATAGAAACATCTCATCTAATAGCACAGATGATGTTGAACTAACTAATTACATTATGGCACATAGACAATGAAAAACATAACGAAGATGACAGCACAGCAACAGCAGATGCTGCACAAAAGAAAAATTAGAAAAATACTGCTCTGCAGAATGCTCTCAGTTAAGGTTTCCTCTGTTAAAATTAATCACAAAAATTAGTGAAGATCAGATTTCGGAAAAAGATATGAACATTGTAATGGTATTTGGAATATGTCATTAAGCCATTTAAAACTCTACTCCTTGTGAAGGTAATTCCCATTTTCTGTATCACTATCAGTTTTAAGACTAGTAAACATTTTAGTGCCTATGGCAGAGTTTCTTGGTAGCATATCTTTTCCAATCAGGAGAGGTCCTGATGGCTCTTCCAGAGACTGAATTTGGTAGCTCCCAGCCATTACAGGCTTAGATAATTAGACAACTTAGATTTTATTTTAGCTTGGCATTTGCTCTATTCTTGTGCTCTTAGCTGTCAGAAAGTGAGAATAACAGTGACTGTCTATTATCTGGAGCATGCCTTGTTACTTTATATATTTTAAATTGTACCAGATCCTAAACAACAAATCTAAAATTGCTGAGTATATTTAAATGTAATATGTGCATGGAGATTACATCCAGATGATATATTTCATAGACCTATGCTAAAAAAATACATTATTTTTAACCACAATACCGGTGCTCTCCCCCTTTTCCCTGCAGAAGCTTTCCACCAGCTCCAAGTCCGCTTTATGCACAGACTCTGAACGTAACCTAGTCTATGGAGAAAGACAGATAAAGGCTTTTCTCCAGCATTTAAATGATACCTGTGGTGCCATTCGAATTTCAATACTTTATTTGCTATAGAATTAGAAACAAAACATACCTACGACATCCCGGGGTTTCCCCAAGCCTGTTTTTCCTAGCTAGACGTTTTTTCCTTACATTTTAAACGGTTACTGGGCGCACGTCTCCGCGGTCCAGCTGAGGCCCGAGATGCAGAAACGAAGGAGGCCTACAGGTGGCGATGTGGTTCAAGTACACCTGGGCTTCGCTGCCCGAGGCCGCGCTCACCGGCCGGCCTGCCGTCGGGCAGCCGGCCTGCCGAGCCGCTCCGACACACCCGTTCGTAAGGAAGCGCTCCTGGCCCAAATGCTGCAAACCTTGCGGGTGCTTCGCCCCCACGTTACCCACCAGCAGGACGGGTCTAAGGTACTTTTGTTGCCTCTGACGCCAGAGGGGCGGTGGGCTACGCCAACTCGTAATTCCGTCATGCTGCTGTCGCTAAGCGTTATTTTGACGGCAGCAACTAACCGGGCCCTCTGCCGGGGCACAGGTCAGCACTGGCCAGGGCGCGCACGCGGCCGCGCGTGGCAGCAGTTGCAGCGGCGCCCATCCCACTGGCTGTGCAGCATTGGCTGCTGCTTACATCAGCAGGCTGGAATCGAGAAACTCCTGTGATGAAGTTTTTCTCTTCTTTTGCTACTCCTGGAAATGTACAGTTGATCTGACTCGCAGCCCGCTTGGTGAAGCACGTTTGTGTGACGGCGTGCATGTGCCCTGTGCCAGACAATACCCGGCAAGGATGTACCCCAGCAGCTGGATGAAGCCCTGACGCTTGCAGGAGTAGCTGCTCACGGGGGTAACTCCTGCTAATTATGGTGCATTTATAAACTTTCATTATTTCGAAAGTCTTTTTTAGCTATGCAGTGCTGCATTCTCTCTTATCCCGTGTGCTGCACTTAGGCCTCAGACCCGTGCAATTAACACTCGGGGCTTTTTTCTTCCAATTCTCGGTGTCCCTGTTAAATATTATTTCTGATTTGCCATCATCCTTGGGCTTTTTCCCCACAAACGCAGTCGTCTTCTCAATCGACAAGCCGCGCAGCTAACTGCCAGCCGGTTGCGGCAGTTTAACCCTTTCGAACCTTTACGGGGTGCTATAACGGCGGGCCCTCTCCGTCCCCAAGCACCGCTCCCCGACAGTTTCCTCGGGCGAGTTTTTTTACAGGTCGGCGGCCCGACGCGGGCCCCTCCACCCGAGGGCCGAGCCGGGC